GGACCGCGAGATCGTGACCTGGCTGAAGTCGGACGCTTAACCGACTGCGCCACCCAGGCGCCCCATATGCTCTCTACTTTTAAAAAATGTTTTAATATTTTCATAATAAATTTCTTACAATGCCAGAGCAATCAAATCAATCACTGGCTTGTAGTCACTGACAAGGCAACCGATTTTAATTAGCAAATACATTGTTCAAGCAGAGAACGTTCTGTGATAAAGCTGGCATTACAAAGCAAGAGAGAGCTAAATGTGCTTGCTGCAAAACACAAAGAGCTAGCAAGTTGCAAGGCTGTGAGGAGGCTTTTGCTGAGAACACGTTAATTTCGGAGCACAGGCTACTCTGGGAGCATGTTTACAACGCAGGCAGCAGTGGCCCGCTTGGGAAAACCTTGCCAGATGACAGACACTGTGAACGAAGCACCCTGGCCGAAGCAGGAAAGGACAGCCCTTCTGTGCTGGCCGATGTTGCTCCCGCAGGACCATAAATAAAGCCCAGCCACGGGGCTTCATATTTAACCATCCCAGAGCAATCAGAGGAAAATCACGTTGCTTGTTTAAAACATGTGAGGTCCAGGGGCGCCTGCGTGGCTCAGCTGGTTAAGCATCCATCCGACTTCGGCTCAGGTCGTGCATGATCTTACGGTTCGTGAGTGTGAGCCCCGCGTCGGGCTCCGGGCTGACACCTCGGGGCCCGGAGCCCGCTTCGGACTCTGTGTCTCCCTCTCTCTCTGCCCCTCCCCCGCTAGTGCTCCGTCTCTCAAAAATAAACATTAAAAAAAGAAAAAAGAACCCATGTGAGGTCCAGCCTGAGACGAAGCCCTCCCCTCTGCGCTTCCTCTTAGGGGGCTCTTAAAGTCAAAGCATCATACCAGAAGAACTCCTTGGTGGTCCATGCCTTTCTCTTAGCACCTACCCAGCGCCTGCAGAGAGCAGGCACAAACCAGTGTGCTCAGTGAATGAACGAACTCTGGGTTCCAGACTCACACACCCTCTGGCCACTCGAAAAACAAATCACGTCCACGGTGCTGGTGGAGCCTGAGAAAGGCACAGCTCTCTTCCGCTAGACCAGCGAGCGGACACTCTGCGAGGAACTGCGGTGAGCGTCTGGGGGCATCCTGCCCCACGTGGCCGCCTCCTACGCTCACCCAACGAGGCGGGGCATCCCTCAGAATATGAGCGTGATCCCAGAAGAGATTTTGTGTAGGCACCATAAAGACCTTTCAATCCTATTAAGACGTTAAAAGATTCAATTTTTAAAATTTTTTTTAGCAGTTATTTATTTTTGAGAGCGAGTGGGCATGAGTGGGGGAGGGGCAGAGAGTGAGGGAGACACAGACTCCAAAGCAGGCTCCAGGCTCTGAGCTGTCAGCACAGAGCCCAACGTGGGGCTCGAACCCATGAACCAGGAGATCATGACCTGAGCCGAATGAAGTCGGACGCCTAAGGGACCGAGCCACCCAGGCACCCCTCAAAGATCCTACTTTCAAAACGCATCATTTTAAGCGCTTTTGTCCAGTATCCCTTAAAAGTCAAATGTGATGTGAAGAAAACTGT